ATATACTAAATTAAATATATACCTAGTTTATACAAAATTTGTTGAAGAATAATTAAATTATTTACTTAATTACAAACTTATTTAAAAATCCTTTTTCGTATAACTTGGCAATTTAATTAGAGCGAGCACATTATAAAAACTATTACTTCTGCTAAAATAAAGGAAAAAAAAGTAAAAAATAAATAAAGTGATAAAATTACACAAAAAAAATCTCAGAAGCAACTTTAGCGTTGGTGGAACAGAGAGCAAAAATTGTGAAAAAAAATTGCGAGGCAAGGAGCAGAGCAAAAGTGTCTGAGCATTGTTGTGTATGTGTGTGTTAGTGTGTTTGTGTGCGTATGTGTGTGTGTGTAAGGAAAAACGAATCAGCAGGTGCTGGGCTACATTGTGGGCCACCCTCGCACCATTTGGGCACACTATATATATATATATATATGTATATATATACTTGTAGTTAGTTCTATTCGTATATATTGGGCGAACGCATCTTTCGATTACAGCAACAACTGCAGCCATGGTGGCGTGGGTGGCTGTGGGTGGTTTTGGTTCGTTGAATGGGCAAAGTGTGTGCGACGCCACCATTTCATACTCGTGCTCATGCCGGGCTGTCCTTGTTGTCGCTGTTGTTGTTGTAAGAAGGCATTTTTATGCGCTGCGCCTCTGCAAGCTCGAGGATGCAACAAGCGACGAGAACTTCGTCGTCTTCGTCGTCGCCGTCGTCAGCCAACAGCTGTGCGCGTGGGCGGGTGTCCTAGACCACAGGGCAGAGCTCCCACCTATTCGATGGTCCACACCAAATCCTATACAGGATTTTATGCACTACGCAATGGGTGTCTGTGCCCACTTTCCAGCCAGTCGCAGTTTTCCTTTTTCTTTTCTTCTTCTTCGTGCTTTTTTCCTCTTGTTTTTCCAGCTGCCTTCTTGCACGCTGCACGCTCCTTCTCCTTGCTGCTGTTGTTGTTGCTCGCTGAATTTTTTCTGACGGTTTTTAGGTTACATTTTTACGAGTTTTACGCTTCCACTATACGAGTATTTCGCGCCGATGTCGTTTTTGTTGTTTTCGGTTGCATTAATACACTGCATGCAATTGTCAAGCGGGGTATATTGGGATTATCTTCATTTTTATAGGGTATACTCCTATGAGATCTCTCTATGTCATATCTATTCAAGCTTACACAAATTAATCGTATTACATAGATTGTGCTTGAATGTAATAAATGAAAAATGTATGTATGATTATTTTTTCTAACTTACTCTAAAAATCTCTGATTGATTGAGTGACTGACTAATCAACAGCTTAGCTGATAGATTAACTGTTCACCATTTACATTAGACTGATTACCAGATTGAAGGATTGAGTAAGCAACTTATTTATTGAGTTAATCTGCAGTTAGACTGATAGACTGATTGATTAGTTGACAAATAGGCTGTCTGATTGATTGACAAACATAATTACTGATTGCTTGATGGACCGATTGACGGTCGACTGGGCGACTGATTGATTCTATAAATCCTACAGATACTAAGATTTACATATGGACAGATTAAGCAACTTACTGACTGACAGAGAGCGGCTGATTGATCAAGCGGCCGATTGAATAATTGACTGAGTAACTGCTTGATTAATAGATGTAGTTACTAATTGTTAAGCTACTTGATGGACTGATTTACTGATTGACGATCTAACCAACCCACCTCGAATTGGTGTTGCATTTCCTAACTCACTTCTTCGGGAAGCAGAGCATCTGTTGCACTGGCAGAGCCCATTCGACATGTTATCGCTTGTTATTATTGTTGTTTGTGGCGAGGACGATGACGATGACGATGCTGAAAGTAACGAAGGAGCCCAAGCCGCAGCCAGAGCCGGAGCCGGAGCCACTGCTCCTGCCACTGCTGCTGCCACTGCTCTGCCGCAATCGTTCTTCGGACGAGGCGACGGCGCTGCAATAGCAAAGACGCAACCAAATTCATGCGCTCCTTAGTTAAACTTCACACTTGTGTATGTGTGTGTGTGTGTGTGTGTGGAAGCGCCACAAG